TATGATGACTAGTCTTCTGGTATAGCTAAGCATGATTTTGCAATTATAAAAAAAATCCAAAGTATTCTCCAATTTTCAAAACCGTAGCCCACAGTGAAAATAAATATAAGAAACTTGTCATTCACAAAGAATGTTGCAGACATCTTGTTTCAATATTTACAGTTGAATGATTCAATCTTTTAACGCAACTGCATTGCCAACCATACATAGTGGCATGGACAGATAAATCAAGCATTTTGGTAAGTCAATAAAGTCTTGTTTCTATTCTTCATGGTATCTTTAGTGATCCAATCTTGTGTGATGTAGTTCTTACGACGTTGACACATCATTCTAGGTCAACATTGGCTTTATGATCAATATACTCAACATGATAAAACTACTAACACTTACTGTCTTATGTGCAGTGTAAAAAATATAGTTTTAAAGTCTCGGACTACAGAAGAGATAAACAAATATAAACATCTAAAAGTACTGATAGTATTCTTGTCTACTCATTGTTTTATGTGAGTTTTTTATCACATTGGTTGATAGTACTGATGACATGGTGCCATTGGAGGATGTTGAGGAAGATAGTTGCAACACCTTCTGTTTTGACATAATTGTGTGCAAGGAAAGAAGGGCATGTTATCAATATTAGGGCATGCTTAAGTATCACAAAGGGTGGTAAATGCATATATCAGGAGGAATCTAAATAATTGATGGATGATAAAACATTAGAATTCTTCTGCTCTGAAAAAGCTGCAACCTGTAATTGTCATTACAAATAGGCAAACCGTGGATTTTTGGAGGCATTGCAGATTATCGAAAAGGAACTTGGAAAAAATTAGAGTGGAATCAATAATGGAAAGGGGGTTGTGGGTGATGACAGTGTCAAGAGATATGTTCTCATTGATTCACCGGTCCTTGGTATTCTTGCAAGTGTGGGTACTTATCAAAAGGGGGAGTCAACTTCTTCTGAAGCTTGGTTAACTTCACCCCAGGATGGAAGTGAAATAGAGGGAAGGTGTAAGGTGCATTTCAAGAGGATTTTTTGCCAGAGACAGTGATGTTTCTTCTGTTGGCTTCTTAGAATTGGAAGAGAGACTTTGTTGTAGAATTTGGAGGAAGATAGCTTTATGGCTTCTGATCATTTGGGGAATGAAGATGAACATGGGGAAATAATGGAAGGAACTACAGTGAATTAGATAAGGAGGCTTTGGCAAATTGAAGAATCTCTTTGGACATTCAGCATGTCAGGGAGTGGGCTCTATTGGATCTATCAGCTTGTAGCAGCTTTTACGGAGGTTGGATTAGAATCAGCTAAGAGATTGAAACTTGATCCTGAAGAGGGAGTCAACCCTTCTTCTCTAAGTAATACCTCTCTCAATAATGTACTTCAGTCTGTTCATTTACTTCCTAGCCTCATCAACCAGATCTTGTTTTCTTTTCAGGTGATGACTGTGTGGATGGTAAATCTTGTAACAAGATCCTTTCCTGTTGGGTTGTGACTGAGAGAACTTTGAGTCTCTTATGTTGCAAATAGCTAAGTGCCAAATGATAATCATTTTTCTATAAACCCAGTAATGGCAGGACCAGACATTAAGAATCCTAACAACATTCTTTAAAAGTTAGATTTAGATTGGTGGGACCTTATTTAATGAAGCTAGGGTGGTCTCATGTATGACCCATATGAAAAAGAACTAGAGAAAACTCAAACTTCAAATATTAGCATCCTTGAACCAATATGGTAACCTGAAAGGGAGAAGGGAAAGGTTACAACATCATGAAGGTTATTAGAGAATTGAATGGTTTGGTCAATGCCCTTAAACTGAAGAAGGTTAAAGAGGTTATGTCTTGGGTGGGTCGGGATATAGTTTGATTGTGGAAACCAAAAGGAGTGAGTGAAATAATATTCTGACTTGGTTGTGTTGGGTTCTAAGGCTTAAGGGGTTGGATCTTGTACCCTTCTTGTGGGGCCTTGAGTTGTATGCTTGTGGTTTGGGAAAGGTTGCTTCTTTTGTTGGCTCCGTTGGGAATTGTTATTTTGTAATTCACTCTATTTCTGGATAGTAACTGCTTGTAAATTTGGTAACTGCTTGTGAAGTGTCCTTGCGAGCTTCTGTCCATGTGTGTGTGTGTACATGGACAAGGCAGTTGAAGTATCTTGTTTTTCTCTCTCTTTGCATAGATATTTATTCATTTTATGGGATTTATTCCGTATATATTTCTCTCTCTCTCTCTCCTATTTTGTGTTGTATTTATCTCTTTCTCTTTTCGAAGTGACTTCTTTTTCATGTTTATTGAAATGGTTGTTGTTTTCAGGGAATGCATAACTGTATTCTTACACTTATTTCAAGGTATGCTCAAATTTCTCTTCAGTACCGCGAAGACTATGGAATAGCTGTTTTATAGTGTTGAGCTTTTTTAATATATTTTTATTTTCAAAAGAGGTTCTTAATATATTTTATTGCTCAACAGGAAGTGCAAAAATTGTTCACGGAAGACAGTGAATTTACCTCTTGTAGGGGAGATGTCTATTCTGTCGCTCCTAGTTCTTTTACTTTGTGTTGCATTTGCTATTTTCTGGATTGCAACTCGGCGCGCATCATATTCCTGGATTGGCCAAGATATTCTTGTAAGTGTCTCAGTTTAAGTGATGCATGGGTGGATATATGGTTGATCAAGAGCTATTTTCTCTATTCTTGGATCATCTTTTTCAAGCCAAGATTAATAATATTGTTGATGTCACTGCTGATTCTTCCTCATGTATGATAGAAACCTATAACTAACTTCTCTGTTTTTATTTATTTATTTTTTGTTTATCCCCCCTCTGTTATTAAAATCCTATATTACTTCCCCAGTTAGTCAAACAGTTAGTTAACCCGTATT